TTCCAAGCTCATCTTACTTACAGACCCAACTGATTCTTAAAGTATGGATCCACACGGTGACACAAACGCTTTTTAGCCATTGTCGCTGACTCTTGCTGTGTCTTGCAGCCAAAACTCTGCAAAAGGTGCTGGTAGTGGACGACATCCTCGGAAATGGTGCTACAGCTTTGGCAATGCAGGAGCTTTGCGAGCAGGTCGCGCCTGTTTATGTCTAGACAGTGAGAATCTACATTAACGGGAGTTTGCTGGGATACACTACCAAATTGTGGAAAAAGGGACATTGACAGGAAAAGGGGTTGGCCAAAGAAGGGAACAACCCCATTTGCCCTAGAACCTAGAAAAGAGGCAACGAATGAACAAATCGAGCAGTCGTTTGGTATAAGAGTTTCTGGTGGCAGTTTGTTTTGAGTCAGTAGATGTGGGTGGATAAACACTCAGGGCTTCAAGAGGCTCCAAGGGAGCTTTTACTGTAATAGAATTTCTGTCTCAAGTTGGAATTCCTCTGTCCTTATTGTCAAATATGACCAATCGCATAGAAACAGGCTGAAAGTGGACAGCTTCCTTTTCGTATTGCCCACGATCTCCAGGTGGGTGCTACCGTGGTGGGCATGGGCTTCCTTGTGGAGAAGGCGACCAAGCACGGTCATGTTTTGGAGTGGAACTACAAACTACAATTTCAAAAATTGGATGTCGGAAGGGTCCAGTCTTAGAAATTCAGAATCTGATTGGTGCAACGTGAAGCTCTACTTGGACTGCACCAAGGGTGTAGCCACCAAAGGGTATGATGGATCATTTGTCAGGTGTTCCAACATGGACGTGGCAAAATCCTTGCAAGGCGCCCACAACTGGAGGTGTCTTGGCGGATGGTTCTTTTGCCCTTTTTCCCTGCTGGGATGTTGATCGGTTGGGAGTTTCTGTTCTCTTAATGCTTTCTGCTTTCTTTCGAACAAGGCATAGAAACGAAAGCATGACACGTGCAAAGGTCGCAAAGGTTAAACAGCTGCTTGTGAGACTCCGTTGACAAAAAGAGCTGACAGATTGCAATGAATCTCACTCTGTGTTAAGTTCAGGGCTCAGTGGTTTTTGTTTCTCCTAGTCTTCCAGCTAAGGATGGCATCGTGGCGCTTACAAAGATCCTTTCGATGGATGACAAAGGACATCCTAGCCTAGCCTCACCACCAAGCACATATTAAAGGAATACTACTCTTTGTGAGACTGGACACAACATACAAGTTCAGCCGTTCCATGAAAACCCACACTACCCTTTGGGAGCATCGAGATCGTGGCAAAATGATTATGTGATGTCTCCTTGTTTTGGAGCTTTGTGCCATTTTAGGTTTTCGTTTTGAGTGCGTTTTTCCTGCATGTCTTTTTAGGATTGAAGATCTTCCGCTGTCCAGAGCCTCACCGAGACACATGGCTGCGGGTCGCCAGTGATTTGGTGCGCCGAATGAGCGCTGAAGTGGAGATCGACGTGGCAGCTAATGCCATGAAGTTTCGATCGGTACCTTGGTGGCGGGCTGCGCCTAGCGGCATAGCCCTAATTTAATACCTTTCAATCCAATCCTTTGATGTCTGACAGCCTCTTACCGTGTGCTGAAAGGTTCTTGGACTTCATATGAGCATGGACCCTGTGCTGCTAGATGCATGCGGCGACGTTTTGGCTGCGCAGTTTGCTGGCGTCACCAAGGTCTTGACAGGCGAGGCTTTTCCGGTGTTAACGGAGTTTGTCCAAGGGACGTCCTTTCAAGGAATCTTTTACTCAACAACCTTGGTTTCCAATTCTCCAAGAAGTCCTGGCAAAATCCAATTCTGAACACCTGTGTTTGTCTCAATTATACAGCAAATGTCAATGACAAGGAAGATGATGACAATGGCAGCAGTAGTGATGATTGGTGGCGATCATGATCATGTCAGTACAGATGCTGGTGCTGCTGTTCGAGGCGCTGAGGCTCCTCCTCATGATGTTGACGCTGTTGCTGTTCCTCCTCCTCCTCCTACTACTACTTCTACTTCTACTACTACTGCTACTACTGCTACTGCTACTGCTACTGCTACTACTGGTACTGCTACTGCTGGTACTGCTACTACTGGTACTGCTACTACTACTACTACGACGTTACTACTACGACGTTACTACTACGACGCTACTACTACTACGTTACTACTACTACGTTACTACTACTGCGTTACTACTACTCCGTTACTACTACTCCGTTACTACTACTA